GCCAGGCCCGAGTCTCCAGATGGCTGCCGTTCTACTTTCTCTGAGCTGTTCAGCGAGTTTTCCACCGAAGACTGTGAAGTCTGCTCGTCAGAAGCATCTAAGAAAAAGAAGACAACAGGAGCCGTTTTCAGACACGTGAGGCTCAGAGCCAGATGGGGCCACGTGCTAAAAATACCTGCCACTGGGTACTTCTGTGGTCGTGGTTTCTAGAGCTGCACCAGGCTGCGGGACTTGGGAAACCTCCTGGTTATTTTTTAAGAGATGCTGTTTGAAGCAGCCAGGCCACAGCCTGGCCTGGGGGGCTCTCCAAACCTCTTTAGCACAAAGTGCCTTAAAGAAACCGAAGGATGCTCATTTCTGAGCGGCAGGCACCAGCGCCCCCTGGTGGACTCGGCACACTCCAACAACCATGGCGGGTGGTTCCTCCAGGAGTCAACGTGGCTTCCCTGATTCTTTAAATAGCCTTCCCTCTCTTCTTGCCAACATCAGAAGTAACTGGCCCTTTGGAAATATTCCTCTTAATAATATAGATTTTTTTTTGATTGTCAGAATCATGTCTGATCATCTCAGGAAATAGAAAACACTTTAAAAAAAGTTACTAAATCAGCACAGGACACCCAGAGATGAACCTACTGAGGTTCTGGAGGATTTACCCCCTCATTCCAGATTTCACTCCTCTCGTGCAGATAATCTCTCCCTTTCCCCAAATAAAGACTGTAGTTTTTTCTTTCTTCTTTTTTTGAGAGGTTTTTGCTATAGGGTGCGTGCGCTCACCAGGAAGACAGAGACAGAGAGACAGAAAGCGAGAAATCACCCCCCAGGGGGGATGGTCATGCTGCAATCCCTTCTCCTCCATTCTCCTCTCGGGATCTTAGGCACGCACGCACACGCGCCCGGCCTGAGTTTTAAGCCACCGGGTCCGGGATGTGAACCGCAGTCGACTACGTGGGAGTCCAGCGACATAGCCATTATGCTAACTACTGGTCCCTTTTTGTTTTGTTTTGTTTTTTGGAGAAGCTGTGAAGATTTAATAGGATGACACAGACCAGACCCCAACAACAAAATAACCACTGGAGCGAGTGACCAGGGGATTCTCTGACATTTTTATTTCCCTTTAATATCCACATTAACGTTGGTTCCTAGAAAGTTGAACACGGGATTACCGTACAAGCTGGTGATTCCACATGCAGGCACATTTCCCCCCCCCCAAAGACTGAGCACAGAGAATCAAACAGATGAGTGTACAGGCGTGTTCACAGCAGCCCTCGTCCCAATGCCGGCAGGCGGACACAGCCCCCGGCAGGAAGACAAGAGAACGGACCAACAAAACACGGTCTGTCCAGACACTGGGAACCCACTCAGCTCCGGGAGGAGGGAGCTGCCTCGGGGGTGACCCTGAAGAACTTGGTGCCGAGTAATGAGGTAGACACAAAAGACCTGATTCACATGAAATGCCCAGGGCAGGGAACCCACAGCGACCGACCGTGCCCTGGTGGCTGCCAGGCCGGGGGACAGGGAGAGGAAGTGAGTGTTCATGGAACCAGTTTTTTCGGGAGGTGATAAAAATATGCAGCCTGTTTTCCTTTTTTTAAATAATTATTTTCTCTAACTTTATTTATTCATTTATTTATTTGAATTTGACCAGAGAAGGCCAGAGAGAGAGAGGGAACGTGAGAAAGGAAGCTGCCAGGTCCAGGACTTGAACCACAGTTGGCCATGTGGGAGCCTAGCGCCCTTACCTTAACCACCACGCCACCTGCCAGCCCCGTGCTTTTCACCCTTAGATGGTTAATTTGATGTGAATTTACCTCTCTAAGAAAGGAGAAATAGCCCACGCTAACACCACACTCCATTTCATAACACCTACATGAGCTTGACCGTGTCCCAGAACACCTGCCACGCCAGTGGCTCCGCCTCTTTGGGCAGTTCCTCCTGCCCCGGGGACCGGGAAGAGGAGGGCCGGCCGGGGCCCCCGCTACAGGCGTAAGAGCCAGAGGTCAGGCTGACCCTCTGCTGGACAGACATGTCCTGGCCAGAGGACTCCCCGAGAGCCAGGAACAGGCACTGACGAGAACCGCCGGGAGCTGGCGGAGCGGCCGAGGGCTAGGGCAGTAGCCCAGCTCCCCGGGCACGGCGGTGCTGCGGCTCCCCAGGGCCGTGATTTTCCTGGGGCCTAAATTTAGTCCAGAGCTTGGACATTATGTCAGTCCTGAACTCACTCAGCAGTAAACAAGTTCAGAGCAAGGTCACCAGCTGCCGGCCGTCCTGCCCTGTGGGCAGCACACTCCCACCTGGGGAGGCCTCATGGGCCTATGCGGGTCCTTCCCCCAGGGAGCTCGGCAGCCCCTGGCAAGGGCAGGTGTCTCTACTCTGAGCACTGCCGGGCAGCCACGCAGGCCAGTGTGTGTGTGCGGGGGCGGCCCGAAGAGGCCCTGGTGTGGGGACCAGCAGATGGCGTAATGGTAACATCGCTGGACTTCCACATAGTCAACTGCGGTTCTAGTCCCGGACCTGGAGGCTTAAAACTCATGCCAGGTGCATGTGCATGCGTGGCCAAGATCCCGAGAGGAGAATGGAGAAGGGACTGCAGCGTGGCCATCCCCCCAGAGGTTGAGTTCTCACTCTCCCTCTCTCTGTGTCTCTCCAGCTGACGTGTCCTACAGCAAAAAACATCACTGGGCTCCACGGCCATACCCACACTCCCCGTGCCGATCACGTCTGTCCTGCCTGCTGGCCTGAGAGGCCTTGGGGGGACAGGGGCAGGACAGCGTGACTGAGGCCACCAGTTCAGAGCCCTGCATCAGGTGGATGTGATGGGTGAAGGACGCACAGCCATGGACGAGCTCTGCGGCAGAAGGCAGCCTTTCTGCACTGCCTGGCCTGCTCCTGGACACGCTCCCTGCCTGCCCGGGGGGTCCCGGGCACCCCCAACTCTACCCCGCACCTCCTGCGACCCCACTCCACACCTGCTGAGGCTCGCCGCCCCACTCAGTGCACGAGGCGCCCCAGACCCGGCTGCCACACAGAGCCGCTCCTCCACACCTCTCCTCCAGGAGCCCAGGTCTCCATGTCCATTCGCACACCCCAGCATCGGCCATCGGCACTCGCTCTCACCTCAGGCTTCAACATGTGTCTTCGGGGGCCAGCAGATGGCATAGTGATTACATCACTGATTCCACGTGGCCAGCCATAGTTCGAGTCCCGGTCCCAGTGGCTTCAAACTCACGACAGGCGTGTGTGTGTGCACAAGATCCCAGGAGGAGAACGGAGAAGGAGGGATTGTGGCGTGGCCATCCCCCCAAGGTGTGACTTCTTGCTTTCTGTCTCTGTCTCTGTGTCTCTCTGGCGAGTGCATGTGCCCTGTAGCAAAAAATCTCTCCTCCCTCCCAAAAAAGTGTCTCAGTATTAGGACCACCCATGTCCTTGGGCTCGATAACCATACGTGTGAGTCTGGTTCTTCAAGAGGACACCCTGACAGACGTAGGGAGCGAATGTCCTGAGTCTATACCTTCCTTCCCAGTGGACCCAGAGACAAGTATTTCCAGACAAAGCAGAAAGCAAAAAGAAACCAGGAATCCGCTGCACTGGGCTGGTGGGCACCCAGGGGAGTGTCCGGCTGCTCTTCCTGTCTCTCCATAGACCTCCAGGGAAACGCACATGCGGGTACGTGCGTGTGCACACGCCCCTCGCAGTCAGACCACCTCTTGCCCTCTTCGGCTCCCACCCAGGTCCGGCTGCCACCCTCTGGCACCCGAAAAAGAAAACCCCAAACCATGGCAGCCCCCTTGTTGGGGTCCCTGCCTCATCGGCCCCCACCCCACCACCTGCTCTCAACCTTCTGGATCACATCCGAAGCCCTAATGGCGCCATCTCACTCAACGTGAAGACCTGGCGTGGCCCAGCCACAGTGGCACCTGCAGTGAAGTGCCACTTCGCAGTGCCGAGGCTGTATAGAAGCCCTGGGTTCTGGTCCCAAGCCGGCCTGAAACACACCGGGGGCTAGTGAGCTCATGACCCTGGCTGGCTACCTGGCTGGCGAGTGTGCCGTGTGGATAAGGAGACCTCCTAAAGCTACTCTCCCTCCTTCCTTCCCTCCTTCCCTCTATGCTTCATGAGAGAAATGAAAAAACAGTAAACAAGAAACAACCCCCCCGAGGTTGGTGCTGTGGCCTTCGGAGCGCCCCACGCCGCGGCTGCGCCTCCTCTCTGACCTCAGCCTGCTCACTTTCCTGCCTCAGGGTCTCTGCCCTGCTGATCTCTGGGCCCCAAATGCTCTCCTTCCACCTATCCACACGGCTCGCTCCCTTGCCTAGCCCGGGTGTCACCTGCTCTAATGATCACCCTACTTAAACGGCAGTAAGCCCACAATTAATCTCTATTCCCTTCTCCCACCTTTTTTTGCTATAGGGCACATACACTCGCTAGAGAGACAGAGAGACAGAAAGTGAGAAATCACCCCCCAGGTGGGATGACCACAGCACAGTCCCTTCTCCTCTAGTCTCCTGTCAGGATTCTGGGCATGCATACACATGCCCAGTATGAGTTTTAAGCCACTGAGTCCGGGACTCGAACTGCAGTTGACTACATGCAAGTCCAGAGACATATCATCATGTCAGCTGCTGGTCCCAGTTCTCTCTGATCTTTTTGTTGCCCTGCAAGTACATGCGCTCTACGCATGACCTTTCTTCTATGTGTGCATCCCGGCTGGCGCGGCCCCTTACCCACCGCTGCTGACAGGCTACCGCTGTCCGGAGGGCAGCCCCCCGAGTTCCGGCCCTGCAGGTGCATACCTTCCGCTCCAGGGTGCTCCTTGCCATCCGGCTGGGCCTCATCCGCCTTGGCTTCGGTGCCATCGCTGGGCACGGCTGAGGTGGGCTCGGGCGCAGGGCTGGAGTTGCTGCTGTTCTCCTGCTTGATGGGCGAGGCATCTGCTATGGAGCTCTGGTTGCTGTTGTCGTCTGTGGGGCGGGGACAGGACACAGGTTGAGACCCGCAGCTGCCAAGGACAGGCAGGTGTTCGGAGGGGCTCAGCCTCCCTGCCCTTGGTTCCTGCGGCCCGGAGGACACTCTCCCAGGAGGTCTGGATATCTCCCTCTCCTGGGGCTCTGAGGCTGGCGCACCCTCAGGTCCTGTGAGGCAAAGGATCCTGGGAGCTGGCCTGCCATCCCCTGCATGGGCTCACGGAGAACCCTGTCAGGAGGCAGCCAGGTCGAGACGGTCACCTACCACAGTTAAAGTTCTGGGGGACATTTAAGCCTAATTCTGGTGCTTCTGGCCACAGAACAGTGTTGCCAAAACGCCTCCTCTGACTTTTTCAAGTCTTTAGTTTCCTTCTACTACATACGAATAAAAGGGAAGAAGAACAAGTCAGTAGCTGACAGGGGCCAGCAGGTGGCATGGAGGTTAAGGCGCCAAACTCGCCTGACCACAGTTCAAGTCCCAGACCTGGAGGCTTGCCTTCTCACGTTCCCTCTCTCTCTTGTTTCTCTCTGGTGAGCACACGTGCCCCATAGCAAATTAAAAATAATACTAATAATAAATAAAATTAAAACAATAATTCTAAAAAAAGAACCGAGGAAGCAGAAGGTAGGACATGCCACAGGACAACTGGCCCGATGTCGAGTGGGTACTGTGAAAAAGGGAATGAGCGTGGAGAGCAGGGAAGACTACGACAGACTGAAGAAATCAGACGGCGCAGCCAGCTGGTGTGGCAGCTCGACCTTCCCGGATGTGCGTGACACCTTCTGGAACGACTGGGGCGTCTGAGTTTGGGCTGGATTGTGAGAGCTGCCTCGGGGTTCTTGTCCACTTTACGAGAAGTGGTAATGGTACAGTGAGTATGTAGAAATGCCGTTTTTTAGCAATGCAGGCTGAAATAGCCAGGTACAGACTTTAAATGCCATGATATGGGGCTGGCAGGTGGTGTGATGGCTCAGGGCACTGGACTCCCACCAACTGTGGTTCGAGTCCCGGATCTGGTGCTTTGCTTTCTCACTTTCCTTCTTTCTGTCTCTCTTTCTCTCCCTCCTCTCTGGTCAAATTAAAATAAATAAAGTTAAATAAAATAATTCTTAATAAATAAGTACCACGATGCGGGGAAAATGACTTCAAAGTGCTTTAACACAGGGTGCACGCAGTGGTCAGGAGTCCGTGGACAGTAAGCTCCAGAGCTGTGGGTTTCTACATGTAAATTCGATTCAATTTCGGCACATTAAAAAAACAGGAGGCCAATCTGGTGGGGTGTGCACAAATGCCACACTGGGGGACACGTGGGGGCTCGGCCACCACGCTCGCTCTTCCCCCCGACGAAGCCCTTTGTAACAGGAAGGGAAGAGTTCACTGGTGACAGTGCCAGCTGTGGCAGAGTGGGGGTCCTGGCACACCTCTCCTCCCCCTGCACCCCCTTCTTGGGCACAGAGAGTCATTTTAAACTGCAGATCCCCAAGTGGCGCTTTCAAAAATAACATCACAATCTGACGTTGCCTTTCTGGGCCACGGTGCACCTGGGACTGAAGCTGTTTTTGGAATGTTTGAAAGAGAGAGAAAAAGCGAGAGAGAGACACAGAGAGAGAGAGAGACAGAGGGGCTTCCCACCTGTCCTGGGCACCTGCTGTGTGCCAGGCATCAGGCACCTCATGCCGTGTTCCCCTCTCTGACAGAGGGGGACGTTGGCTCTGAGTGGCAAAGCCACGTGCTCAGGCTGGTCTGGCCGATGCCTGCCCGAGTCTCCTGATCGCAACCCGCGGAGGAAGCGGGTCTCAATTTACATAGACGCTGGGACCCTTGTTACGCAAAAGCAGCATCTGGCAAATTCTGGAGCTTAAAAAAAAAACAAAAAAACAAAAAAAAAAAAACCGTGTTTTCCTAATAGGAACATCTACATCTGGAGCCAGCTGGTGGTGTAGTGGTTAAGAAGGCTGGACCTTACGTGGCTAACCGTCCAGTCGGGCCCCACACCTAGGGGCTTGAGAACGTGCCAGGCGTGTGTTCATGCATGCCCAAAACCCGATCAAAGGACAAGAGGACTGTGGTGTGACCACCCCCCAAGAGTTGCTTCCTCACTTTCCCTCTCCGTCTCTCTTGGTCTCTCGGTCTGTCTCTCTCTGGTAAACACACGTGCCCTCTAGAAAATAGAAAAAGGAGAGGGAGAATCTAAACTTCTTTCCTCTGCCAAGGTATGGATGGTCTCTCTGTTTGGGGCAGATGGTAGCACAGCAGCAGAACGTGGCCCTCTGCTGGGCTGACCACATGGAAGGGTTCCGGGTTCTTGTCCCGAGACCTCCCTGAGTACTCTGAGCACACGTGTGCCGTGTCCTGGGCTGGCGGGCGTAGGTCGTGGCCATCCTATTGGGTGGGAGTGGCTGTCTATCTGTCTCATTCACAGAAGAAATAAATACATAAACTCTCACAAAGAATACACAGGACCACCAGATGGTGCGATGGCTATGTCACTGGACTCCCTCATAATCAACTGAGGTTCAAGTCCTGAACGTCTTGGCTTAAACTCACACAGGGCGCGTGTGTGTGAGTGTGTGCCCAAGATCCTGAGAGGAGAATGGAGGAGAAGGGATTGCGGCGTGGCCATTCCCTCCCGTGGGTCATGTCTCGCTGTCTGTCTGTCTTTCTGGTGAGCTCGTGTGCACTAGAGCAAAAAAAGAAATAACACAAAAAACAAAACAAACAAAACTCTCTCAAAAAAAGAAACAGAGGCCTGTCTGTGTGTGGGAGCTTGACCCACAGGTGCCAGCCTGTGGTGGCGTTAATTAATGACAGTGAGTACTAATGTGTAACAAGCTGGCCGCCAGGCCTGGCCTGGGCAGCTGGGAGCAGCCTGACGCCGACCCCGACCCCGGAGCTAACTTCCGCAATCTGCAGACTTAAAAGCTGCTGGCTCCCCTGCTCCCCTGAACCCTCCAGGGGAACCCCAGCCAGGCTGTGTCCCTCTCCCCTTCACACCAACAAGCCCGGCCTTCACCCTTGGCCTGGGCTGTACTCGTGCTAACATGGAGACGCTCTCGGTGTCTGGTGTTCTAGATTTTCCGGAGTGTGAGTCCAGACCACAAACCCACACCTCACCCTCAAAGCCTGGCATTTCTTAGCTCGCTACCGGGGCAGGCTCATAGCAGTGGGCGCCAGGCCTCTGACGGGCTACTCTGACCCAGCCTCATCACCCCCTCTACAAATCAAACCAACAAGCCAAAAGGCTAGAGGTTAACGGCCCAGGTCACACGGTAGGGGGACAATTTCTGAAATAAAACAGCAAAGGAATGCAGGCTGCCAATACACGAGGTGGCTCCCAGGGTGCTGGAGTGATGACAAATCCGGGCAGGGACCAGCAGATGGCACAGTGGTTAAGGCCCTGGCTCACCGTGGTTTGAGTCCCAGACCTGGTGCCTTGAAAATCATGCTGGGCGCGTGTGTGTGCGTGCCCAAAATCCCAGACGGAGACTGGAGAAGGGACTGTGGCATGGCCATCCTCCCTGGGAGAAGATTTCGCACTTTCCCTCTATGGTCTCTGTCTCTCTCTGGTAAGCACATGCGCCCTCTGGCAAAAACCTAAAAACAAAGCAAAACAACAACTGCTCAGAAATCTAGCTTGGAGTTCCCCAGCAGCCAAAGCAAATGGGAAATGGAAGATGCACGGGGCTTCAAAAAGTATGTGGAAAATGCATAGTATGGAGGAAAATGTGTGGGTTTCATTTTTTTTTTGCAATAAAATATACTTTAATTTCATTTTTTTATATACTTTTTCAAAAGAATTATTTACATAATTTAATTTATTATTATTATTATTATTATTATTATTCAGTTTGACCAGGGAGAAACACACAGAGAAAGAACGAAGAGAGAGAGAGAAAGCAAAATACCAGGTCCAGGACTCGAACCATAGTCAATCATGTGGGAGCCCAACACCTTACCATGCCACCTGATTGCCATTCCATACACTTTTTGAAGTCTCCTCATATAGTCATTGCTGTGCCATGTCTGCCCCAGGAGGGAGAAGAAAACAAACGCCTCTCCTCAAAAAAGAAAGGCCCCCCAGCAGATGGGGCTGACAGAACCCACCCCACCCCCAGGCCTCGGCCACATCTCGGGCGCCTCTTTTCTTGGCTCAATGCACCGGGAAGTGAAAGCCCGTCTCCTGTGCTGTGCCGAGCTTCTCCCTGGCAGAGGCCTCCTGGCCCTGCCCAGCCCTCCTGCCCCCAGCCTGGAATGTGAGCAAACCTGCTGGAGAAACACCGAGCGCCCGGCCCGGCCCGGCCAGGAGCTGGCAGGCTAGCCGCAGGCCCACAGAGCTCACCGTGCATGTCCACCATCCCCGGGGACGAACTGTTCTCTGGGGTGGTCACCTCCGAGCCGCACTTCTCGTCTTTGCCCTTCTTCTTATTCTTGTTTTTCTGGAGGGAAGGAAGAAACAGAAGCCACGTCACTACCCGAGTGGCGCCCATGTGCCCACGAGTCCCTGGGACTGTATGAATATTTCATGGCACTGGTCGCTCCCGGAGCCCCGAGCCTCTGGAGGGCCGTCCGTGGTCTGCACTTGAGCTTGTCCATCAGCTCTGGGCCACCCTGCAGAGGGAAGGCTTGGTGATCACGCCACTGGTGCAAGGCCACCTCAGCAGGCATGCGAACCCCTGGTTGGCGGGTCTGCCTCCTCCCTTCCTCCTCCAGGGAGATGGTCTGGGGAAAAGGGCAGAGTCACTGCCAGCCCAGGGCAGCACTTTCTGTCTTTCTGGAGAGCCCATGTGCCTGTAGCAAAAAACTCTCTTAAAAAAAAAAAATCCAACAGAAAAGAAAAGAAAAAGGCTCGGCAGTGAGAGTAACATTCGGACAATCCACGGACCCGGAGACAGACGTGGAAGGTTGTTCCCGAGGCAGGGAGAAGGGCAACCGACTCCTACGGGCTAGGAGCATTTTGGGGGTGATGCAAATGTCTCAGAATTCTAGTGGTGATGGCTGCACACTTCAAAGAGTGAATTTTGGGGCCAGCAGGTGATGTGGTGGTTAAGGCGCTAGACGCTCCCACATGGCTGACCACAGTTTGAGTCCCAGACCTGGTGGCTGGCTTTCTCACTTTCCCTCAGTCTCTCATTCTGTGTCTCTCTCTAGTCAAATTAAAATAAATAAATAAATAATTAATTAATTAATTCTTCTTTTTTTCTTTTGGAGGGGTCTTTGCTAAAGGGCGCATGCATTCGCCAGACAGAGAGAGACAGAGAGACAGAAAGTGAGAAATCATCTTCCAGGGGGATGGCCACACCACAATCCCTTCTCCTCCATTCTCCTCTCGGGATCTTGGGCACACACGCACACGCGCCCGGCGTGAGTTTTAAGCCACCGGGTCTGGGACTCAAACCACAATCGACCACATGGGAGTCCAGCGACATAGCCATTATGCTAACTGCTGATCCCATAAATAAATAATTCTTTTAAAAACGTGAATTTCACAGAATATAGTCTTAATTAAAAACTGGTTTTAAAGCTACATTTGAATTTTGTAACATGTTTTACCTATTCAAAGAATGAAATTTAAGAGTTCTGAAGTATAAAATGATACAACCATAAAGTCATCACGTGTCTAAAACAATGCAGATGCTTAGCCCCAACCTTCAGAGATTATGGGTATGGGGCCCAGAAATCTGCATTTTGTTGTCATTTTGGGGGTTTCTTTGTTTTGTTTTCATTTTTTAGTTTTTGCTAAAGGGCACTTGTGTTCACCAGAGACAGAGAGAAGAAAAGTAAGCACTCAACCCGCAGAGGGGATGGCCACACCGCAGTCCCTTCTCCATTCTCCTCTCGGAATTTGGGGCACACACACCCACGCACCCGGCATGATTTTCAAGCAACGGGACCTGGGACTCGAACTGTGGAGTGGGTCATGTGGGATCTAGCATCTTAACCTCCCACCACCTGCTGGCCTCTGAAATCTGGATTTTATTAAGGTGGCCAGCCAGGCTGGGAGCCACTGCCCCCAAGAAGAGGGGCGAGGGAGGTGAACAGCACGTGGTTCAGAGACAGGGAAGGTCACGTTCCTGAGCAGGTCCGCAGGGGTGGTGCACCGCCTTTGCTCTGGAGCAGAAACCCCAGCCTGACCTGACTGCTTCTCTGCACAACCCAGGAACCTAAGACGGGGGGCGGGGGGGGGTCCCCTGTGCCCCGGCTCCAACTCCCAGCCTCGGGCTCCACGCCCAGCCTGGGGCTGTCCTCTCCGGCGGCCCTCACGTGACGTTTGCTCCTTGATCGTATTCCATCTGGCACCTCCCTGATGTCACTCATGCGATTCTATAATTATCTTCCCCAACGAGATCAGAAATTCCTTGAGAGCAAGGACCTCGACTTCTCCCGTGCACTGGCGTTTCGGCAACACCTGGTGACGTCCGAGGCCCAACCTGGGCACAGCCAGGCGCTGCCTTCCTGGGGCCCCCTGCTCGCGGGCGCGGCTGGACAGCCGAGTCTCTGTCCCTTTGGGCACAGCAACCCTGGTGGCTACAGGAGCCCAGGCCAGGTTAGATGGGCTGGTCCTCAGCCCAGCATCAGCTCTCCCTCGGGGTAAGCAGGGACCGCAGGGCCGAGGATGGAAACCCAAGACCCATAGGGCGGGTAACTGCAGATGGTGAGGGAAGCCGCCCCGCACTAGCCCATCTTGACCTGTCAGTCCCCGGAGTGACGGGAGCCTCTGGGTTAGTTGGAGCCTTCTTGGACAAGAGGCTTGTGTTTGGGTACACAGGAAGGCAGTCTGGGTGGGAGGAACAGCCCGTGCTAAAGCCTGTGGGCGGCCCTGCTCTGGACTCTGACTGGAAACAGGGGCAGCCGACATGGCTGGGGTCTTTGGAGCAACTGCCTGAGTCCAGGCAGCTGCCCACTGGCCATTCCTCCCACAGACCCCGCACGGCCACTTGCGCTCCATCTAGTGGCGGTACTGAGCATGGCTCTGGCCCTCCAGGAGGCCTTCCTGGAGCCCCTCTCGCTGCCAGGTGCCCTGTTCCAGGCTCTCAGCAGCTCCGACAACCAGAAGGCTCTGAGAGTGCAAAAGGTGCACTTTGGAGTCAGACGGACCTGAGCTCAGCGCCCAGCTCGGACAGTAGTTGTGGGGCTCCGGAGAAGTGGCCTCACCTCTCTGAGCCTGCATGCTCACGCTAGCTGCTTGAAAGGGATCCACTGACCGACTCAGTGTGAGAAGGGGACGAGGTGATGCAGGCTGTGTCACATGGGGCCTGGCAGCCAGCCAGGAGCTCAGGAATGGGGCTACGACAGGTGAGAGGGTCTGCCGATTGGCGGGTATGACCACGCCTGCCCTAAACCGCCGTGCCAAGGGCCCCAGGAGGAGGTGTCTCTGTGCGAGGGTGTGCCTGCACTGGCCAACCCTGGGGCTCTCAGACCAGAAGTCAGGACTTGCAGGGACACGCCCCGTTCTCGGAGGAACAGACTCTGGCTGGGTTACAGCAGGGTGGGGAGGTACGGGTTTACCCAGGCCAGCTTGTCACTCTGCTTCCCTGTGGGCCTGGGCCCCAGGGTCCATGGTGGTAGGCGGAGGGCGGCCCCCTCTCTCAGCAGTGGAGGAGCAGGACAGGGGGACCAGTCCCGCTGGTACTCACGTCGTCAACCTTGGGCTCTGTTACGGGGACCCACTTGTAGATCCGTAGGGATGTGTCACCAACGGTCACCCACTTCTTCTCCCTGTGGAGGACAAGAAGACCCCATTACTAGGAGTCCGGGGGCAGGAGTCGCTCCTCCCCTGTGGGTCACAGGCCACCCCGCCTTGGGCAGCTGCTCGACCCTGCAGATGTGGACATGTGGGCTGCCTGTCACCGGCCAGGGCCCCGAGCAGGTCATCCTGTCTACGTGTGTTTAACTAGGCGAGTCAGCCTCTGGGCCGGGGCTGGAAGGACCTGCTCGGTCGGGCTGAGGGGGCGGGAGGCAGCCATTTCCGCGGTTCCTACTACAAAGGGAGTCAGCGCAGGGTGCCCACATCCCTGGGCCTGGCCAGTCGCATTTCTCTGGGCAGCAGAGGGGGTGTCAGGGCAGCAGGCGTCTCCCCTGGGCTGCGGGTCCTGGCCGGGCAACCAGGCTCCTCCTGTCCTGGCCCTGCGCCCAGGGCGGGAGAGGGAGCAGGTGCAGGTACAGAGCATGAGTAACCACCTGGGTGCTTCTGAACAAGGCTCTCTGGAGAGCCTGAGGGGCCCCCAGAGACCAACGCCTAAGCGGTGGGCCACGGCTGCACCCGGAGGTCTGCCTCCAGTGTCCGGTCTGCACAACTGTCGCTCTTGGAGGACAGAGGCCAGGCCCTGCCACAAGAGCAGCTCCACAGTGAGGAGGAGTGAGTACTTGGGCCTGAGAGGATCGGCGACTGGACTTGGTCACAGACAGCAGTCACCACCAGGCCCTGACCGCCACTGCGCCTAGCTGTGGCAGCCCCCAGTAACCCCCCCAGCCACACACTTCCTCCTCGATCCCCACTCCGTCGCCAGAGCATCGCTTCCAGCCCCACACAAAGGCCACACACCCTGGGGGATTGAGCCCGGGGCTCCGCGTGGACAGAGCTCAGATTTGAACCAGCCTGGCTCCCAACACTAGGCCCTGCCACAGCCCAGGAAGGACGCTGGCTGATTCAAGGGGCCCATGCTGGGGCGTCGGGGCCAGATGCACAGTTGGCAAGGTGGCAGAGCAGCCAGGGACCTCGGCAACCCCAGTGACATCAGTCTCAGCACCAAGAAGGACGTGCGGGGTGAGCACCCCTCTCAGGGTGGGCCGACACCTTTTCCAACTCTGCACCCCAACCCTGCTCTGCATCTTTCCTCTGAGCCTGGGTGGCCCTCACGTGCTGGGTGACATATCACAGCCCCCTTTGTCACCACAGGAGCTTGTGGGGCCCGAGCACTTTCAAAACCAGACACCAAACCACAGACACCTCCGCCCCCACAATTGCCTGCTCCAGCCCCAAGGTCCCCTACTGGAGGAGTCAGGGCCTGGCTTTTGTTTGGTTTTTAAAGTTCACTTATTTACTTATCAGTGCGTGGGTTTGCTCTAATCCTGACATAACCTCCTGGGGCAGGGAGTGTCACCTTCCCCGTTTGATAGATAAAGAAACTGAGGCACGGGACACAAGCGCATCCTCTCTAGGGCCAGCGTTCGGACCCTCGAAGGAGACACTTCTTAGGGTCGTTAGCCTGGAAAGAACGCAGAAAAGGCAGGCGTCGGAGGCAGAGGGGACACGCCACAGGCCCGGTCTTCCACCACCTCCATTACGAATAATCCCAACGGTCCAGGTCACGCCAAGGAACAACCTCAGTGACAAGCAGAGCACCAATCGGAACCGCCACTGTACCGAAGGCTCGCTCCCTGCCCGGCTGCACGCCGCCTGCCTCAGATTCCCAACAGGGCTGCCACCCCAACTCACGGGTGGGCAACGGGAGGCCCAGAGAGACTACACCGCCTCTCCGTGGTCACACACAGCACGTGGCAGATCCAGGCCAGGGCGCAGGCTCTGAACCCAGAACCCACCTTCTGTTTTTCTGGTGCTGCAAAAACCCCGAACCGGTTCGAAGGACCACGTAGACCTCAGCGGCTGGACAAAAACACTCGCGTTGCTAGAATCACTCGCAGATGGCCAAAGGCACTCACCACTCGCAGGCCTCAACTCAGCTTCCTAGGCCTGGGCCCCAGTGAATCAACAAATTCAAGGTTTAATTGTGTTAAAAAAAAAAAAAGTAATTGACTTGCAACACACAGGACACCTTTCGGGCAGAGTGTGCCAGAGATCTGGGCTTTGCGGGCCGCGGGCTGAGCATGACCAGGGTCTCCGGCCTCCCTTTGTCCTGGCTGTGGCCCCCAAGTAACCCTGGAGACCAGAAACTGTTTTTGGTGGCGGCCTAGGGTGGTCGCTGAAGGGGCTCTGGGACAGAGGCAAGAACGTTCAGAGCCCAACCTCTGGCTGGGACCTCGGGAATGACATGGCCAGCAACCACCCAGGGAAGAGGGGCCGCGGGGCCCAAGTACAAGTCACGGAGCAAGTGCCAGGGAAGATGGGATGGGATTTCGGACGCAGCAAGTGGGGACGCAGGCTCACAAGAGTCCCTAAAACTGTCCCCAACCCATCAGCTCAGAACACATGACCCTTCCCTGGTGAGGCCGTCAAGCCTCCTCACTACCTTAGATCTGGGGTGGCCAATGGGCGTGTTTTATTTAAGCTGCATAGTACTTTTTAAAACCCAATTGTCTGGGGCCAGCAGGTGGCGTGTGCTGGACTCCCACATGGCCAACCGCAGTTCAAGTCCTGGACCGTGCGGCTTACTTTCTCGCTTTCTCTCTCTGTCCCTCTCTGGTAAAATTAAAATAAAATAAATAAAGTTAAATAAAATAATTCTTAAAAAAGAAATCCAATGGTCAAACATAAAAAAATACTCCACATAAAAATCCAGATTTCTCTCAAAAACACAGCCTGGGCCCACACGGCCTGGGGAGCGACAGGACAGTCCTCTGCGGCTTTCCAGAACACCCCCCCCTTCACCCCCAGCCACCTACAGGCCCTGGGCTGGAACTCACCCAGCGAGCACCAGGCCGCACCCCAGCCTTACTGGGAAGCTGGCCTTCAGTCGCCCTGAGATCCCTCCCACAATGGCCCTGGTGACCAGCCCAACTTCGGCACCTCTTTCTTCCTGTCAGACCTGGGCTCCCAGACTCCTGGACAAGAGGACGAAACCTGGTCCCAGCTGCAGGAACACAGCCCCAGCCACTCCTCCTCAGCATGGGCTCCTACGTCAACTACAGGAGCCCATCGCAGATTCTGCAGGCCAAGGCCGAGTTCCAGTGTCCTGGCTCCGGGTCCTTGGACCAGTCAAGGAGACTACCCTGAGGTCACCCACTGCCCAGGAGGCTCTAACCCTCTCACTTTGTGTTCATTCCCCAGAGCTAGTCTCTGCCCGGCCCTGGCCTACGGCACGCCTCACACCAACGAGGCCCCGGTCGACCTGACTCTGCGCCTGGCAGGACAGCTCCCTGATGGAACCCAAGAGGAGCAGGGTGAGGCCCCACGCACAACCATCCATCTTGCCTGGGGTGGCCTCGCTCAGTCCTCCCATCAAGTCACTGGGGATCCTCAGGCCACATGCTGGAGGTCCTGGGCCCAGCTCACCTCACAGTTTCCACCTGCCTCCCACCCAACAGTCCCCCGTCCCCTTCTCTTCTCCACCTGCCCTGACCCAAAAGGGCCCACCATTTTGTCTTCCCTATAGCCATCTTCTGGCCACCGCCTCCTGCCCAACCAGTCTGCCTTGCTGGGAGCAGACAAAAAGGGGCACAGCGAGGGACATGCAGCTAGCCGCTGTTCTTTTTCCAGGGGTGGGGGAAGCGAAGGGGTGATGGGGGTACTGTTAGGGATTCCCAGAGCAGAGGAGAAATACCAGCCTAGGCTTCTAGGCCAAACAGTATGCCAGACCCCTTGGCTCTCCTTTGGACAAAATACAGGATGCCCAAGTAAGTTTGAAGTTCAGATAAATGGGCAATTTTTTAGTATAAGGATGTCCCATGTCATCTTTGGGACATCCTTATACTAAGAAACACTTATTTTTTAAAATTCTCTCGTTGTTTAACTGAAATTCAAATTGCACTGGGTGCCCTATGTTTATATTTGCTAAATCTGGCAACCCCTGTCCCAGCCAATAGTGAAATGCATGGTTGGTGGCCCCTGCAGTTAATAAACAACCCAGAGCCCCAGGGCTGACTGCAGGGCCCATGTAAAAAAGCCTTTTTGCTTAGGAGGGGGCATAAAAACCAAAGCCAAACAAACAAAGCCAAGTTTTCTCCAAAGTCCACCTTATAGCAACACTGAACAAGTGTTCCTGGGCACACATGACCTTCCCTGTCCTCGACGCCCCCAGGGAGGGGAAGCAGTGGCCCAGAACCCCTGTGGGCCGGTCTGCCAAGGTCACAGCAAGGAAGTGAACTGGAAGCCCAACCGCGAGATCCCAAAGCCTGAGGTCTGCAGAGGACACACACCACACACACCGGGGAGGGGGCCTCCACCCCTACCCCAACGCAGGCCTGGCTGGGCCCCCAGGCGGGCTGCTCTGGGGCCTGTAGGGTGGAAAGTCCCTCTGTGCCATCTGCCCTCCCTGCAGAGCAGCCGGCGGCCCTGGGAGCAGCTGCCAGGGTCCAGGAGCCTCGCCTGGGCAGGCGGCCCCACCACGCCTCCCAGAGCAGAGAAGGACGGGTTGCCGGGGGCCCTCTCTAACCTGCAGGCGGGTGACAGAGGGGCTCGGCCCCCACACAGGTCTCTCCCACAGAAGGCTATGGTGGGAGACAGCAACTCCAGCCTTTCCCACCGGAGAGGGGTAGGGGGTGTTTTCCTCTGTGAGTTTGGCCTGCAGCTGTTTCTGCCATTTTTAAATGGCTCCAGTTGGGCACTGGGCACCCTGTGTGCCAGGGGCGCTCCAGCCCCACCGACACTTGGAGCTCAACTTTGGAGAGCCTCCCCTTCTCACGGTTCCGAACATTCTTTGTCCCATTGGAGCCAAACCCAGCCCAAGCCGGGCATCCGGCCATGGCAGGCAGCCCTTTCCATAGGCGGCCCGCGAGCACGTGGACTTGATCGATTTTCCTATGCCGTTTTTGTTGGGTTTGACTCGGGAAGGACAGCTAACTTGTGACACCTCTAGGCGGGAGGCTGGCCCCCAGTGGTC